GCTGTAGCTGCTACTAGCACGCCAAGCGGGGATGTATCAGTCGTGAGTGAATGGCAGCATCGAGGGCGATAGAGGGCAAACAACCATTGCTTATTTATGGGACATGGGGGATGGATAAGAGGGTGTCTAGTTGCCACAGGCGACGAAACGGATAGGACACAGTCGGGCGGGCATCGCGACGCACAGCTTAACGGGTGGTCTGTCGTGTCAGGATAAGGTTGCCTAGATGCATTCCACAACCACCTACGTTGCCGCCGGTACGTGACAATGAAGTAGATTTCTTTTGGTTCGCAGCACCCACCCACAGCACTTGTAGGACGTCCTAGAAGTTCACTTGATAACCAGCGTCTACTAGAAGGTCCAAGACAGATTTCGAGATGGGTTTGTTCGCGTCCTATCTAATCAAACGAAGACGGTGTTAAATTGCTATCTCAGAAGGATGCTGGGTCGTCCAGCCTACGTAACCCACTTAACGTGGACAGATGAAATAGCAGATTCATGCTCTTGAGGTCTGCAGTTATGACCTACCTCTTGATGATGGAGTAGGTTTATCGTGCAGGTCAAACTTTAACCTCAGAATACGGTTTAGCCGCATTCGAAGAATGGTTCGACAAGCCACCTGAGCCTCCTCTTCAGAAAGAGCTCCTTCTTATTAGTAATTTGCACCTATTATTTCGTTAACAAATCTTCCCAGGGCAAACACATCCTAGTGTGTTTAAAAAGCGTATCCTTGGGTTAGGTTTAAGGGTGTTTCGGGGCTAAGGTCAGGTTTAGTAATAAGCGTAGCGTTAGAGGTAGGGCTTGTGTTCAGATGGGGGCTACGTTAGGACTTTGTGTTAGGGTTAAGACACAGTAATATTTATCCTTCGTTTAATTTTTCGCAAGACCATCCTTACTTCTTGGGCGCGGTGCACCAATTCCTGTGTCCTGTTTGGTAGGCCATATAAGCAATCCTTACCTTTTCTTTCTGAATTTCCGCACGAGTGCGTCTGCAGATAGAATTACCACAGCGAGCTCATAACTACACCACCCGTCTTCCCTCGGAGTTTCTATCGCGATCCTCGCCTAAAATTCCTCGTCTAGCAGTTTCTAGCAGACAAACTAATAGCTAATTTATTTATTTCTTGTCAGTTTACAGGCGAGGTGAAAAGATATGTACAGTAATGGGTCGAGATGACAGTAAAAAAAACTTCTGATCTTTCTTTTTACGGGGTTTTCAGGAGAAGAAACTGCAGTTCATTGAGTGACTGAAGTTCGGAAACGGGGCGGTGAAGGGTTAACACACGAACACAGTGTTCTTAGTCTCCCTTGAGTGTTATGGTCGGCGAACGGTTGCTCGCTGTCAGCTGGAGAATTAGCCGATTGCGGACTGCAGACTTAGCACCATTGCCCTGGCACGGGGTTCAGAGTCCACGAACGCCATCAGAGTGGAAGAGAGATTCCGCTGAGTCTCCTCCATTGCCAATTGCCTTCAAGTCCTGTTCAATAAATAGAAGTACGTTTGTTACAAAGGCATCGAGTTACTCCGACGTACCAAATGAAAAAAAAAGTTTGTTGGGGGTTTTTTGCAGGCCTAACTCTGAGTTCTTTTGTTTATTTCCTCCTACAGACTTCCCTTCGCTCAATCTGGAGGACCTAGACTCTGTATCCGAGATTGGTGCAGTCGCTGCCGGTCGCCACTCCATGGCCAACGCTTCCAACGGCACCGC